GTAACTGCGCTACGTTGAAAAAAAAAAAAAGCGATACGGCTAGGTACGATTGCGAAACCGCTTCTCCGATCAGTTGCTTTTATTGTGGCGCAAATCAGCGATAGCGTGGATTCTAATGCAAGTATCAAGTTTCTTTTTCTTCTACAGAGGGGGGGGGAGGGGGGGGAGGGAAATCCCCCAGTCGATCCGCACTCTTGAAGTCTCCTCTTTTCCTTGCTCATTGAACGACCGTTAGCCATTTAACGCTGCATAAGACCAATAGCCATGTGGGAAATGTTGTCATTGTTCTTGTAGATGCAAGATTTCTAAAGTTTATCTGTCCCAATTTATTGCCCGCAATTAGCACTAACATTTCTAGTAAACAACGCTCATTTTCTTTGTATCGTAAAAAAAATTAGAAAAGGACGTGTAGCCTAGGATAAATTTGGATCCTGGCTCTTGCGGAGGACATAAAGTAATTGTAGGCAAAGCAATTAACGTGTAATTAAGTTGCTCTTCAAAATAAAACGTGCAATACTGTTTTATTTTCTTCTCTCTGGTGACAAAAGTCTGCAATAGTCTCATTCGTTCAATGCAAGGAAAATCGTAATCGGAAATCTAAAAGCGCGAATCACACTCACTTTGTCGAAATTCCTCACCTGTGCTCAGCTTTGAATACTGTCGAATCACACGTGACACAATAACTAGGCGCGTACAGCAAGCTTTCTCAGACACAGCATTGACTTTCAAGAATCACGAGGAAAAAAAAGTTCCTTTAATTTTTGTACATCTCTTAATCGTTGTCGCGCTCAAGAATAAAGGCTTTACATTTAATTGTGGACATATAATCGGCCGATATAATTATCTGAATTTCTCTAAGATCATTTAAAGTTTTTTTTTTTCTTTCACTGCCACGCAGTAAAATTTCTTTACAGCGCGTAGAAAATAAATTTAAAGCACTGCATTAGCAATGACGGGGATTGTATAGTTAATCTGCTTGTAAGTAAAATAGTATGCTCGAATTGTTTAATCTCTTTCCAGATGAGTAATGTCACGGAAAAGAAAGTAGATTAATTAATTTTTTATGAAAAATGTGTACGATTCTTCTCAATACTGTATATATAGATTCGGTTCGAGTATTATATGACTTTATATATTGTAGTAATGCTACTATTTCCTTATATGTACATAAAACACTACGTTAAAGGCTTCCAGGCTGTGAAATATCGAAGCTAATTGTTATCAACTAATCCTTGATAGCATTAAGTCATCGTAATCATAAAAAAAAGGACTTTCTTTTTTCTCTTTCTCCAGTAATCGTTCAAACGATACGTTTTTTTATACCCGCATGCCCGATCGCCACGGATTATACGCGGGCGATTGTCAGTTATAGCGTAATTTCGTGATGTTGCGTTTGGAAAGCTTGTATCACGAGGCTCGCGAAAGGATCATTTATACACTGTATTAGAATCTACAAAGTTCACCGGTACGTTGTATATCTTATGTCTTTCACATTAGCGACAGAAGCTATCGTTATCAATGTAGGTATATCAAAGTGCTTGAGCTATTTGGCAAAATGGATATACAAGCGATTGAACTTTGGTTGTCTTCAACGGCGGATCCATCAACACAGCTTTTACACGTGTTCTACACGTGATTCAGTATCAACTTTTTCTAATTCTCCCAGCGAATTTAATTGAAATGGGATTCAAATTACTACACGATACTGCATTTCACATCACACTTCTATCTGTCCTCTCACAGACTCGATAATCCTTCATTGTAGATAAGTGTAAAAGCGGCGAAGCTTCTCGATTATTTGTTCTCACAACTCGGGGATGCGACTCTTGAAATTCAAACCCGTGTCAAACGTTGCGTGTGTATAGATTTCGGGAAATTCGAGCGTGCGCGCGAAGCAAAGTTCAGCCGTGCCATTATTCAGCTGTTTGGACAGATATCTCAGTGTCATTCGCCGGGAAGGTAAATGCCAAATGATACGGGTGACACATTCGTGCATGTATAATTTCGCGGGCAGGGTCCGAGTGGTAGAGTCTGTTGATACAACTGAACAAATTATCTCGGGTGTACGCGATCACGCGTCTTGTTGCGGCCGTATTTAATCGACACACACATACACACATACACACACACACACACACCCTTCCTTCTAGGTAAACGAAATGTGTGCGCTTTCGCTGACGAACCTCGATTCATTACCTCGAAAGAAAAGACCAATAATGTATGTCGTAGTATCTCCCTTTGGGTTTTCACATGCTAATATGTGTGACGCTCTCTTCCTTTCTTGGTCTTTCTATACGACACCATCCATCCCCCTTTCTGCCACTTTACACGAAATGCGAAGGATGCAAGAGAATTGTAAGAAGCACGTAAAAGAAACGAGAGAGGATACTTTGATCAAATCGACAATATATTAAATATCGACTGTATATTTTACTTCTGAACGCACGACGTGTTCTCCAGAGACATTTCCGATTTAGCGATACATCGAGATATCAGAAATGGTTTTTCTTTCCTCGAAAATACCTTGCAGTGAGAGAGAGAGAGAGAGAGAGAGAGAGAAAGAGAGAGAGAGAGAGAGAGATCTCTTTTATATCTTCTACATTCAAACATATTCCTTTCTTGACATATTGATAGTCGTACTTTTCTTGTTGCTGTAAACAGAATAATCGTATAAAAGGGTAAAAGATGAATTCGAGATTACACAAACTTCTGATTGTCGTTCGTTACAAGCTTGAAATATTCGCAGGCACTGATCATTGAATAATCGTCGGTATAAGATGGATGAAAAATTTCGGATCTAACCGTAAATGCCTATTTCGAGCAACTTCTTGCAATAATGAGCAATGAGACGATTTGTCGCCAGCCGTAGCGCAAGAACGGGGATTAAGAATATGGTGCAAATGTTAAAAATTGTAGATTTTCTTGAAGGATTCAAGATTCCTCTTGAAGTAGCGCAAGAAATGAAACAAAAAAAAAGGATATATTGTACATATAAAAATAATTACGCTTATTGTATCTTTTACTTTTAGGTAATTAACTAAATAACTGTAATTAAAAAAAATATGTTGTTGTGGTAGGCGCACAGCGAAAAATGTGTACGAAAATTTATGAATTCAAGACGATTTTAGAAAGGAGGAGTAATAAAGAAATTTTATCCTGGATAGGACTTATTATTTTGTTAAGATCTTCACACTTTTTGCCTGTACATTATCTAACGTTTTTTTTTTGTTTTGTGAAATCCGTTTTCTGACACGTATTTGTACATACTCTTTAGATCATTATTTCTCTCGTTTTTCTCAGATTCACTGTTGTGCGCGAAGCCGTATCCTCCATTCTCTCCACCTTGTTCGCTCGTATGTTCGTAGCATTTAGCTTTTATAAATGTTATTTCCTCGCCGTAAAACACATATACAACACACACAAACACAGTGTATACTGCGTATATATGCTGCTACCGAGATTTTTAGCGCCGCCTTAATGAGAAAAAGGAAAAAAAAAAGAAAGCGACAACTCTTCCGCCAAATGATTTTGAGAAGAACGAGCGACTTTATGCGAATAAAGATTCGAGAATGTATTTGTAAAGAAACTACAAAAAGAGTAATTTGTTCATTTTTAGTTGGAACGCTTTGAAAACAAAAACAAAATATAGTGGTATATGGATTTTTATATAAAATTTATTAATGTTAAAAATAACGACCCAATAGCCATAAAACTAAATAAAACGTCGAGAATCATCAAGATTTGATCGCTCCAACCAAAGACTGAGTTCGCTTTACATTTCTGGTTTGGCAAACACGAAATTCCACTGCAGTTAAGACCGATATCGTGTCGTTTTGCGAGGAAAGACTCGTTCTGCTTCGACATTCTCGAATTGAAAAAAAAGAAAAACGCACTCGAACGGTGCGTCGTTATTGAGGATACTCGGACGTTTCGCCTCGATGATTCGCGAGGTAATTGATCAAAAAGTAAAACCAGAGAGCGAGATATCGGTCGTATCAAATGGTGAGACTTCGTGTTTACCCCATTCGTTGCATTCGCGAGAAACAATAGTATATCATGTAAGTAGAAGTAAGACAGATCAATGCAAATATTCAGAGTGATCGAGATAACGAGAAAAGCAAAGGAAGACGCTACTAATCCGCGCGAAGAGATAGATTATCGAGAAGAGGAATGAATGAGCTTACGGTTAAATAGGTATCTAAACGAGAAAGCTCCACGACATTTTTTCTGCGTGTTATAAACAGATTTAACGATAAAATATCGACTGACTGCGTCGAGACACGATGTATCTACTTATACATGTATTTTATTCTGTGAATACAGTAGGGCTTCTGTGTCGCTGTGCGACAGGAAGGTTTAATCGGGAACGTGAGATGGAAAGGGGAGGAAAAGAAAGGGAAAAAAAAAAAAGAAAACGACGCTTCAACCAAAGCTCCGATTCGAACGAAACTTTGGACGCGAGTAATAGAGAATTCTTCTCGAGAATAATATTGTACAGTCGGTGAACTCGCAGAGGAGGGAAAGAGACGTAGAGGGTTCTATATAATTACATATATAGAATATTTGCTCTAGACAGCCCTTCGACTTGTTCTTCGGTACCGATACATCCATTTAATCTTCTGTCACCTGATAACACCTTTTGCCGAGAGAAAAACGGAAAGAACCGCGCGCGTGGCTCGCCCGTCTGTCAGAAATACAGCGAACCGTTAGATTTGTAATTGTCAAATGCTGAAACTATTGTCAAATACACGTCTTATTTATAAAAAAAAGAAAAAAAAAAAAAGAACTTGATGTCCGACGAATGATTTTTACATTCCCGAATCGACTTGTTGTATGTTGTTGTTGCGAATCTTCAGTTTGCGCCGAGAGTTATGCACAAGAATTTCAGAATTGTGGAACACACGATGATTTCTCGAAATCTCTTCGAAGAACCGTTTCGTCTTCAAGCGGGAGATACAGTTTCTTTGATCTTTGTATTAACGAGGTAGAAAATAGAGGTGTTACCAGGTAGATGAATTAACATTTCCTACAACTTATGTATAGAGACCTAAGTATTAATATCCGTAATTATTGCGATTAACAACGTATGATAGCAGACGATGTAACTAATTGAGTGTATATAAGTAAGTCAATTTACGGGTTGCATTTTGGCTATTAAATATATTCTAATTACTGTGTGACTCCTCTCCGAGGAGGGGAGATGAGAAAAATCGGCAAACTACTGAATCGACTATATTGTACATATTCGTATACATATGTACGTATACATATAACACAGCTCGTGAGTCTGTACATGCAAACACGACATATATAAATACATATATAAATATAAATATAAAATGTGAGAGAGAGAGAGAGAGAGAGAGAGAAAGCGAGAGCGAGAGAGAAAGAATGCGGCGCGTTATAGGTCGCGTTACTCACTGTATACAGTATCTTCGAGTAAAAAAAAAAATATGTCCGGCAAGTCGAAAGAGCAATTCTAAAACTATTTGTTGTATTTGTTTTTGACTTAACATTATTACTGCATTGTGTATGCTCCGCGTGCGTTGTAGAGTAACGATGAGATATTATTTTAATCGAGATTTCGTTTCACAGCGCAAAATTCGCGAAAAAAAAAACGTTACTGTTACGTTTCGACTGCGTTGCTAGATGCGAGGAAATTACACTTGGACATATATCGGACAACAAAATTTGGTAAAACGGGCCTGCAAAAATAAATTCTGATTACACTGGCTACTAAACAATTTTTTTTTTTTCAAGAGATAGCCTACCTGCTACTTGAAAATTTTGCAAGAAAAGTTGCAATTAATATTTTTATCACCTTTTTCCTTTCTTCTCGCAGAAAACTGATTTTTGCTATGTAATGGAAAAATTTCATTGTGTAGAGGACGCTCTTCTTTGTGTATCGAGCGTCATAAGTTACTTCATCGAGTCATAATTGCAGAATCAATGTTTAAATAGCAATTGGATAAAAGTGAGTAATATTTATCCCATTGTTAGAAAGGTTATGTTGTTTTATTAATAATCTATGGGTTATTTCCCGCCAAACATCGCACTTCTGCGCAGAACAGTAATCTAACCTTATCTAACCGTCTAACCGTATCTGACTTTGTCGCAGAAAGGATCATGAGTGATCATGAGTGTGGTGAGATTTGATTTCTTATCGATTGTTTTAAAACCGCGGATTCTCTCCAGTGTTAATTTAAGCATTCAAGCACTTTGCTTACTTTTCTCTGCGTTTATATGCGACTTCTGGATTTGTTTTTTTTTTAAGGTAAGGCACGCGAGTGACAATTGATAGCAGTTTCGTTTCATTAAGCTTTACTTTCCATCGTTCGCACAGTTTTAATATTACGGAAAGAAAAATAAGAGTAAAGTATGCTGTTTTTTTATGCCGATACTTATCGTTTTATTGTCGTACAATCTATATTTTAACTCTATATCATTTAAATAAAAGGACATTTGTATTCGCTGGTAATTTGTATGAACTGTAAATAATGTAATTTCTTTGGTCGATCTACTATACATAGTTTAAATTAAGTTTCAGTTATGAATAGGATAATGTATGAACAAAATAAAAAAGGATTACGAGCAACATGATGTAGAGTCTGTTCGCTTCTCCAAGTCTCAGAGAGTATATTTTTTATTGAATCTGCATTACTTCTGCAGTTATTCGTACTAACTGTGCATGACATATTGACAGTAGAACTATACTATGAATGCATAATAATTGTACAGATTTTATGATTTAGCTGATAGAAAAGCACTATGCCACAAACTACACTCAAAGAATTCTACAAAGTTACAAGTAGGAAATCTGTGAATGTGAAAAATAATGTAGAAAAAAATGTAGAAAAGGCATCTACCACTGGAAGTCCAATAATTGGCAGAAAAGTAAGTTAATTGATTGTTTAATGGCTATACTGACAGTTTAACTGTATTGACAATTTAATAATTAAATATTAATTTCTTTTATACAGAAAGGACAAGGGAAAAAATTAACAGCAAAAACAATAAAAGGTTTAAGAAACAACAAACTATTCAAAGCGTTTATACGGCAGTTAGCAGAAAATATTCTTTTTCCAGTAAGCGAAGAATCTCATTCGTCAAAGATGGATATAAACAAGAGTCCAACTAAAGTTACTGAAACTACAATAGCGACTTCATCAAGCACTAAATATATTTCACCTGTTAGAACGCCACAACACACTACAACACATAGTGGTTCAAAATTTTCACCAAAGACATCATCTCCAACAAAGGATGCATTCGACAAATCACAAAGAACGGAAAATTGGCGCGAAGAAAACTGTTCAAGGATACAACAGAGGAATTAATTTCTCAGGTCATAGATAATCTGAAATTTGGCCAAAGAAGGCGCTATTGCGAATAATGAGATTAATTTGGAGAAAGTTTACGCGAGTAAGAAATTCGACTATAAGTACAAGTCCATAAACACCGCAGCTTCGACGAGATATGAAATTGATGACGTTATCATACCAAAGGACACGTATTCGCTACATTTCTTTCTGGCTGTGTCCACGGTATTTTCTAAACCCGTCAACTGCGGATACTTCGACGAGGACGAGCTGGATTACATATACTCGCTGTTAACGCTTTCAAAAGACGCACAAGCATTATTCATACGTATGCTGAAGAGGAAGCACACGTGGCACAGAACAAGCAGCATCAAGTATGATGAAGTGTCCAAGGATTTAGGGCCCATCTTCGACGAACTTGTGTCACGATCTGTTTTCAAAAGCGGCATGGAAGAGGAAGATTTGTCGATTTTGTTAAACTTGCTGCAAGTCGATGAAATTCGCAAGCTGTGCCAAGAATCAAAGATCAACGGCAGCAAGAAGAAGGAGGACTACATACAATCGATCCTAAAGTTGTCCAAGACAAAATCGTTGTTTCCCGGAATGCTGAGTCCTGCCACCAAGCTGCGTGCGTCGGTGAACAAGCGCCTGGGGCGTTGCGTGATGTTAAACGGCAGAGTGAAAGAAATGGTTGATAAAATAATTACGCTGCTGATACCTAATCGAGATCCCACCGAGACTTTATCGGACGTCTTCCACACGATATTAAGAGTCGAAACAAATGAGATAAAGTTTCCGCAAGTAACGATAAGCGACCTTCCTATCTTCGCCGGTAAACAGCACCTGTTAGAGTATGTAATATTATTTCTCTGAGCTTACAATTCATTATATTTTTTATATTTTATTTTATTGTATTCAATTTTATTCTGCAGTTATGTGGAAGCCAGAAATGCACTATCCGATGTGCTAAGTGCGATTGAAAAAAAACAATGGCAGACTGTACAGGATCGTGGATCTTTAGCTGCGGAACGTTTGCCGCTTATCTTGGAAGTGGAAACACAAAGGTGACAAAAATACAACTGGCGAAGCGTAGTTGGTTATTCAAAAAAAAATGAAACTATCTTAAATTTATGTTATATTTATTTGCAGTCTGAAAGATTCAACACTGCCTAATCACATCAGACACTTCATGCCGGGTTATACGTGGCTCAAAGTTCTGCATAAGAGTATCGACGTATTTAAAAAATCCAAGAATACTCTGCCGAAGGCGATAGAACATTTGCAAACCTTAATACGTCAGGATTGTCATATGAAATATCGAAAAGGACAGTGGTACGCCGAATTGATCAAGATAGAAATGTATCACAAGAAAGATCTCGTCGCCAGTGTTCAGTCCCTTTCCGATGCGGTAGCATACAAAGATTTAACGGAAGTCGATAAATTAGATTTACTGGAAAGAGCAGAGATGCTTGCTAAAAGAAAGACCGGCATCAGCCAAGATACGAAGAACACTGCTACAAATATAGCGAACGCACTTGGTAAAATGTCACTGACATCTCTGACGAATTCCATTGCAATAAAAGGAACATTGTGCGGGTGAGTCATAAAACGAATCTTAATCAAATCCTGTTTCTTCCTTTTAGATTAGAAAAGACATACATGTGTGTCTTTTTGCAGGAACACTTCGCAGGGAAAGAGCAAATGGTGTATTAGCAATGGAATAGACGAACAAACGTACGGCTCGGTTGAGGATTTAGCGCTGAATTATTATCAAAGCGAGGGATATATCAAAGGTGTGCATTGCGAGGGTGCATTTCCGGTCACTCTGTTCGGCACATTATTCTGGGACGAGATTTATAACATGGACGTTCCCGGTGCTTGTGTATCCTTGTATCAGGATGCACCGTTGGATCTGTACTCGTCGGAATTCTACGAGAATAGAAAGGATCGAATCGATATGAAGCTGCAGATTGTTCGAGATTTCGATGTGGAAACGTTGAGCAGACACTTGAAGCATAAGTTCGACATGTACTGCGAATACAAATCCATCTCCAACTCCCAGGGCACTCCCTTCGAAAACAGCAATAGACTGGAGGTAATCAATCCGATGAGATTTAATAACGAAAGACGATTACATGTTACGCTTGCTTTCAGGAAATTGTGCTTTGCTTGGGCGTAGAAGGGATCGTTCGCATTTGCGAACGACTCCTTCACAATTACACTTTGTGGAGAGCGGGTTTTCCAGACTTGATTGTCTGGAACGCACATACAAAACAGGTGTGTATAAATTTTCTATATTTACAATCGAAAGAGCTTGTATAAAATAAATTTTAAGAATACCTTACATATTCTACCAAAAGTAAATTGCACGAAGTTACAGTTTCACATATCTCGTCTTCTTTTTTTTCAGTATAAAATCGTGGAAGTAAAAGGTCCGGGCGATTCGTTATCGACGAAGCAAAAACTATGGTTGACGTATTTGAATCAGCTCGGACTTAATACGGAAGTGTGCTATTGCCAGGTAATTAATTATTCACATTATCACAAAATCTGTTGCATCGCGTATCATGTACTTCAATTAAGGCGCCAATGCTTCTGTTACGGTGGTAGTACAAGGGCCTTGGAAGTGGTACCTGAAATAATTCGTCATTAAAAATTATCCCGCAAATTAATCTGTCAATTTTATTGATCAATCTAATTAATTCATCATTACGCAAATGCAATGTGACTTTTACTTTCTGTTACAGTCCAGTCATACTAATGGTGGACGCAAGCGGAAGCGCGAAGAAATTGCGTGATACAACGTTTTTCGTATGCATGCAAGATATATGTCACGTTGCATAAAGATAAGATATTATAGATTTTTAGAGATAAAGATATTTATTATATTTTATACTAATTGTGATACTGTGCATTTATACATCTTTAGCGCTCTTCCTGAAGTTATAAAAACTTACTATAGATATATACAAATATTTTTCGTAAAAAGAAAAAGCATGTTAAAAAATAAGTGCACTCACTGCATTTGTTTTGTGGCTGGTGTTTCCTCTATATTGAACTCTGCGACCGGCACTTTGCGTCGTGCTATTTGCGGCGCAAACATTGCGGCGGGATACACAATCGCCGAGGTGCCAATGACCAAGCAAGCGTCACAAGTTTCGACAACGTCAACTGTTTTTTTAAGAGAAGCGACGGTGGAGATGAATATTTTTTTGTGTTACATGTTTTATGTTATCGATTTTCATCTCAACATTGTTTTAATTTTTATAATCAAAAAGTGTTTGTACTTATGAAATAAAGTTATGCACTTGTTACATAAAATTACGTACGAGCCTTCTGCAGTACATTTTCATCCAGCTGTTCACCGAACCACACGATGTCGGGCCGCAGCAGTGCTCTGCAGCTTTGGACTTCGCAACGCGGCAATTCTTCTGTTGGAATATCAGAGGACATAATGCTCGGGTCGGGAGATCTGTTTAGATACATCACCATCAGATCGACGAGAAGAAATCTTTGATACTCACGTAATATTCATATCTCACATTCCACCATCTTCAATTATTCTACAGAATTCTTGCTGGCGTACCCTTTGCCTGCCAACGCTGGACAGATGGGAATATTCTCATTAAAGGCAATGTTACGGCATTTGGTGCAGCGTGTTCTATAAAGCGAGCCATGTAGTTCCACCACATCTTCTGCTCCGGCTTTTTGATGCAATGCATCTATATTTTGTGTAACAATTGACACTTTTTTACCCTCTGCCATTTTGCGCTTTTGGAACTCGGCTACAGCTTCGTGGGCCTAAAAATACAAGTGAGATAAACTCGCATTTTTGTTCATTCCTAAACTCTGTCTTAAATTTGAATTTTTTAATGCAGAAAATTTTATAATTTTTATTATTTCAGATACACAATATTGAGACAATTTAAGAATAAGTTTTTCAAATGTCGATTTACCTTATTTGGTTTGACTTTGCTCACTAATTGTCTACGATATTCATAAAACTCCCAGACCAACGAAGGATTCGCCGCGAAGGCTTCCGGCGTCGCAAGATTTTGCGCCTGATATTTACGCCAAAATCCGCCGGCACCTCGAAAAGTCGGCACGCCGGACTCCGCGGAGATTCCGCTGCCAGTTAAAATCAGGATATTGCTGGCGTTCGAAAGTACCTCGCGAAAGGATTTCATGACGTGGTGCATGAATACGTCTCGTTCGTTCTTGTTAATTCCACAAATAATTCTTGCAAGTAATCACAAGCGAGTTCGTGTTTATGCAGATCAGCTGACGTACTGTATCGGCGGAGGGAGAAGGTTGATGAGCAAAGTACATCAAGAGACACGGTAGTGTCTCGCGCCAAGTTCACGCGCAGCGCGCAACGCGAGCGCAAGACCGACCGTGTATCTTTAGGGGCTGAGCACAATGAAAAGCACAGGCAATAGGAACAGGAAATAACATAGAAGAGAA